GGTTTTCAGCAGAAAATAAAGGTCACTTAAGTAGCGTCGAATGGCAGACACATGAACCAGCAGGTAACACGGTTAGCACCAGTAAAGCTAGCCTAAGAACCTTAGAAGCTGAGCTAACTAGCAGCAGCTATGTGAGCTCAGGTGTAGAGGTGACTATTGCGAGGTGAAGGGCGATAGAACTGAGTAATGACGATGGTAACTCTGAACTTATAGGGTGAAGGCGGAGCCTGTCACCAGACGTTCAACGTCACCACGTCACCTGTCTAAAGACGTGATTAGAGGTGGCTTCAGCCAGGCGTACGAGGGCCCGCGTGTCCCATATACAACTGTGTGTTGTACTGAGTGAAATGACTGAAAAGCAACCAGATATATTTGCTTCTGTAATATGGTAATGAGCGTTTGTTTTACATGCTCATCTTACAGCTTGGATCAAGTAAATATCTGTCTTTTTTGGGGGGGGGGGCTAATAATTGCCTGGTTCGTGGGCAGCATGGCATCTCAGTGGTTAACACCAATGCTTCACAGCAAGAAGGTCCTGAGTTCGATCCCCGGTTCAGACATGGGGTCTTTCTGTGCAGAGTTTGCATGTTCTGCTCGTGCTTCCATGGATTTTCTTCGGGTACTCCATTTTCCCCACAACACAAAAATGTATACAATAGGTTGCCTTCAGGCCCAGGCCTCCCTTGAAATAGAGATCTGCGATCTCAATGGGATTTGCTTAGTTAAACTATGGTAAAATTAAAAAAATAAAAACCTGTTGCGTGTTTAAATGCATTGTATCTTGGCACAACAATAATGAACTTTGTTCTTTATTGTGTTGTGTTTAGGTACTGGGGAAGCTGCAGGCAGAAAGTACTGAAGTAAAGGTCTGCAGACAGTTTGGGGTGAAAGTGGACGAAATGTTGAGCCAAGTCTTTGTTTCTTTGTGAACGCATCAGAAGAGGTAGGTATTGATGCACTTGTCGTCAAATTTTTGAAAAAGTGCCTTTAAGCTCCTAATGAAGCAATAAAAGAAAACAAATGGAAATTTGTAGATTAATGTCTCTAATGCAGTCATTTTGATTGTGACCTTGTTGTAACTTTGACTGTGTTTGTCATTATAATGAAGTAGCGCACTTTGTGTGCTGCAGCCTTACAGGCATGCTGTTTTTTTTTTTTTTCTGGACTTCATTATACAAATGAACTCTTGGCTACTATACCTTAACATTAACTGTGAAAAATGGCCTGCTGTTGTATGATGAAATTCTTAAATATACATTTGTTCTGCTTTCATACACTTGGTATGCTCTTCTTTCTTTCATCTTTGAATTAGTTTTGATTGCACTAGGAAGGCAGAGGCTAGGGCTGGGCGATTATTTGATCGCTATTATTGATCGAGAAAAGATTCAGGTCGATCACGGTGATCAGCTGTGAGCCTCTTACTCGATCAAACATGGCAGAAATGTGCGCGACAACAGCCAATCAGAATCCACCTTATCCTGCTCCACTTTTGTTTATAAGTTGCTAAGGAAACGCAGACGGAAACGCAGAATTAACCAAAGTAATCCAGAATAAAACGCTGAATCTCAGAGTTCACTTATTTGAGCGAGTTTATGAGGTATTTTGGCCACTGTCACTTCCTGTACCTGTGTTACCTGCTAACAGGCATGCGAGTTGTCCCTCCCAACCCGACACAGAAGAGAGAGAGAGGGAGAGGGTGGGGGTGGGGGGAAGAAAAGTGAGCCGTGATGCGCAGCTCGCTAAAACAAAAGCGTCTTCCAAAAATATGAAGCAGTAGGGTAAGGTTTAGGACAGAACAATGCCCCAGCGGTTCTTCATTTATATCTGGAGAAGAACTTTTCTGTAAGTTTTATCGGCACACGATCGGCTGGACGTGACGTGAAGACCACTTCCTGTCTGAATCTCATCACAAACAGCAGCTAAGACACGCTGCAAACTCCTGAACACTCAGAAGCTGCGAGTTTATCCAAAATTTTGTCCTGTCTGCAGAATCAGATATTCTTTCAGAAAAAATGAAACAGTGTTGTCTGTTTTTTGATAAAGCTCTGTAAACGGGAGGGGGTCATGGGGATGGGGGT